AGAACCTGGAAGAAGCTCAGCAGCGCTGGAACTTTGACTTCGAGACGGAGACTCCCTTGGAAGGACGCTTCGAGTGGGAGAGGGTCCTCCTGCCTGAGGAGCAGCCCCAGGAGCTCCACAGCCTGGTCAGGGCCACCAGCAGCAGGAGCAGGAGCTCCTTGGTCCCCTCCAACGAGCACCTTGGCAGGATTTGCCCCGAGGGATCCCAGCAGAGCTCGGGGGTTTACAGGGCTGGTGCCCCGCGGAGCTTGAAGCGTGGGCAGGCCACCATCAAAGGTGAGTGCTGGAGGCGGGGGCACCCTGGGGTTGTGGCTGCGGTAGGGACAGATGGAGGGAACTTGGATGCAGGAGCCCTGCCTGGCTCCTGGCCATGGGAAGGGAGCACCTTCCACTCAGCTCTCCTGGGTGAGCAGAGCCTATCTTGCGGGGGAAAGGCTGCAGACTGGGTGTCTTTTGGATGCTGGGGGTTAGGCAGGGCCCTTATTTTGGGCTTGTGGGGTTTATAACTGAGGTGCCCCAAAATAGTTGTTCACCTCCAGCTGCCATGGCCTGATCCTGTCCTGTAAGATCAGGGCCTGGAGTGGAAACGCAGGTGAGACCAAGCAGAGGGTGGCCAGCTCTTTTCTTCAGGGTCTCTGGGGGTGGCTGTAAGATGGAGCCCACCTGGGCTGGGTTTTGGGGAGCCTCCCTGGGAGCACCTCCCTCTTCCTGCCCCATAGCTTCCAACAGGCTGGAGGCACTTCCCAACCCTCTCTTTCTGCCCTCTAGACTTCTACAGCTCCAAGCGAAGGATCATCCCTGAGAAGCCCAAGCCATGACATGGTGCTCTGCTCCTCTGCCATTGGGGACGGCTGCTGATGTTCCCTGGGGGTGTCCATGGCTCTTTCCCCCCCTCTGTACTGTGTAAGCTGTCTATGAAGCAATGTAGAGTCTGTAGTTCCCTATTTATGAGTAGTCTGGGGTCCTGAGGGACCTTCACTGTGTGCAATGTATGAGTAGCCCATGTTGTGGCTTGTAGCTACAGCAGAGGGGATGGAGGAGAGCTGAAAGGGGCCTGATGGCACTAAGGCATTACCCTGCCTGCAGAGAAGAAAGTGTGTCCTTTGCCCAGCATTGGTGGGACCAAGCATCATCCTTGCACCCCCTTCCTGTCCAGCCGTGGTCCTCCTCCTGCCTGATGGCTGGCCATGGGGGACACTTGTGTCCCAGCCACTTGGTGGCATCAGGTGTCCTTAAGAAAGGGTCCCTGATGTAGATTGCAGAGCTCTGGGACAGCCTGGCCAGAGGACACCCCAGTTGCTGGTACATGGTGGTGACCCTCTCCCCAGCAGGATGGACCCAGCAGTGTCAAGCCCTTGTCCATGTGTGTAAGTGATGTAGGGGCTGCCTGGGAGAGGAAACGCTGTTCCCTGGACAGCCCTTCCTTGGGGTGACTCACCGGTGGTGTCACCCCTCAGACAGGCTGCAGATGGTGACAGAGCCGCTGGAGGTCCCCAGTGCTGCGCCCATTGCAGGACCAACGCTGCCTGTGGGAGGCTTTGGGGTCCCCTGGATGCTGCTGAGCCAAGCCTCCCTTTCCTGTCCTTGCCTTGTTGAGTGGTGCCGCTTGCCCTTGTGTCCCTGCCTCTTTCAACACTGACACTGGGCTGGGGAGCTCCTGTTTCCTGCTGTTGGCTTGCTCTAGGACGGTAGTCCTGCTCCCCAGCAGGGATGATACTGAAAGAAGAAATTGTAGCTTTTTTTTTTTTTGCCTGTTTTCCTGGACTTTTTCCTCCTTTGGGGCTGGGGCGGGGAGAAGACCCTCACCTGGCTCTGCAGAGCGAGTGGCTTCGGCCACCTCTGGGACCAAGGGATGTCTTGGAGCGAGGGTTGCTCTGTCCCAGCGCCGAAGGGTCAGTCCCTGCTCTGGAGGGACTCGACACTGTCAGGTCTCAGCACTTTCACAGCGTTCATCTCCTGCTCTGCTGGATTTGGACTCTGGAAACTGGTGCAAGATGGTTCCGGGTAGAAAAGGGCCAGGGTCAACCTCCCGCCTTGCACCACGATGCACTTTGCTGTCAGTGAAGCTGGCGAGCTCCCAGCACTAAATGTTTATTTATATAAAAAAGGCTATTAACTATGTGGGGGAAGGGGAAATACCTGTTTGACTCCAAATGTTAACTCTGAATAAACACTCGCCTCGTGTATGGGAACTGGTGTCTCTGGTTGATGGGAATGACTGTGCTGGTAATGGGGTGGCTGCAGCCAGCATGGGAAGGGGCTGTTGCAGCCAGCGTGGGAAGGGGCTGTTGCAGCCCTGGGTGCCTCCTGTGACATGCAGGGTCAGAGCAGGGGGATGAGGAGCTGCGCGAGGGCTGAGAGGGGTAAAACCTCCCCACAACCCCTGCGCTTAACCCTGCTCCTGGTGCTGCCACCATGTACCCAGGAGCAGCCACTGCTGCTTGTGTGGGGTCTCACTGTGGGAATGCAGGTTCCTCTGCTGCCTTCGTTGCTCCCTTTCCCTGCCCTGACACTGGATTTCTGCTCCTAGCCCTCAGGGCACTGTCTTATGGGGCAAATGGCCATTAGCCATGGGCAAGCTGGTCACATCCTCCTCTAAAGGGGTCCTGGGTGCCCAGGCCAGTGAGTGACCTGTGCTGTGGGACCTGGACAAGCAGGAGCAGGTGGAGGCACTGCAGATAACACACAACAGTGAGCCCTGCGTGGGGCTGAAATTTGCTGCTGGGGCTGGGATTCTCTAGGAGATGGATGCCTCACCATCAGCTGCTTCTTCCAAGGGCTGAGCAAGACTTGTACGTGGGCTGTGAGATCAAGTTAGGGTTAATGTGAGAAATCCCAGACTGGTTTGGGTTGAAGGCAGCTTAAAGTGCATCCAGCTCCAACCCCTGCCACGGGCAGGGACCCCTTCCATAGAGCAGCTTGCTCCAAGCCCCTGTGTCCAACCTGGCCTTGAACACTGCCAGGGATGGGGCAGCCACAGCTTCTCTGGGCACCCTGTGCCAGCGCCTCAGCCCTCACAGGGAAGAGCTTCTGCCTTAGATCCAACCTGAACTTGTCCTGTTTCAGTTTGAACCCATCACCCCGTGTCCTATCACTGCAGTCCCTAATGAAGAGTCCCTCCCCAGCATCCTTGCAGCCCCCTTCAGACACTGGAAGCTGCTCTGAGGTCTCCACACAGCTTCTCCAGGCTGAACAGCCCCAATGTTCTCAGCCTGTCTTCATACAGGGGGTGCTCCAGGCCCATAAGTGCCCTCATTTGCAGAGGATCCAGGAGAATACAAAGGTTTGATGGTAACAACCTTGTGCATTGTTCAACTGAGGATCCCTCAAGCTTCTGCACTTGTGTTGGGTGATCCCGCACATGCCAGTGCCCCTTGAGATGCTTGCAGAGCACGATCACGCAGCCTTTTAGCTGCTGCTGAGTCAAGCCCTCCGGATTTAGCCCTTTTAATCTCTTCCCCTTACGTCAGCCCCCTCTGCTGTCACCTCCTGTCTGTCAGAGCGGTGGTGATGGAGGAAGTGACAAATCAGCAAATACCCCCTTTGTCCCTGTGTGTGGGGCTCTGAGCGCAGCCCAGGTCTGGCTCTGCTGTGCAGGAGGGAGCTTGGCATCTAGGTTTGGAGTTTGCACCCACATGGGAGACTCCAGCCCTGCACAGCCTCTCCCAGTGGGGAGGACTGTGTGTGTGCCCAGCTCTGGGGACACAAAGTGGTGACGGGCTTCCTGCAGCTGGGCAATGGATGCAAACCTTGCACTTCCAGCTTGGGTTTTGCTGCCCTCCCATCCCAGCCGCAGCACAAAGCAAGGATGCTGGGGTTCACACGGTGGGGCTGAGAGGAGGGTCCGGTTCTTCTCCTCCTTTCCCCATTATATCCAACCCCAGGACCTGCCTGGCTTCTCCCTGGGGCTGGAAAGGGCTCTTGGCACTGCAGAGCTGGGTATACCCGGGAGGAGCAGCAGCACCTAAGCTGCTTCCTCAGGTGGAAGAGCAGCAGAGCAGGGCTGGGCTGTGGCTGGGGGTGCGATGGGGCAGGGCACTGGTGCAGCCGGTTCCCAGCAAGGGATTGAACCAGTTTAGATGGGGAGAGACAGGCACCTCCTGCCCTGGGAGCTCAGCCCTGTGCTGGGAGCTCGGGGCTTAGCTCTGGTTATAACCTAAAGTTATTGTTGAATTTCCCCTTGTTGGGATCTTTTCCCCATTTTTGCAGTTAAAGGAGAGCAAAAATGTTCATACCCCGCCTAATTCCCCTGTGCCCCTGCAAACCAGAGTGGGTGCAAGCCATGGGCAGTCAGTGGGTTCGGTGCTGGCTTTAAAGCCCAGTTAATGATTCCAACAGGAGCCTTGGAAAACCCACCAGTGTGAGCAGCACAGTGGGATGAGCTCCAAACCCTGGGGCTCAAGAGCCTCTGTGGGTTGTGGTGTGTGCAGGTTTGTCCTGTAGGTGGGATGCTGTATATGTGGGTTATAGTGAGTCCTGTAGTTTGGGTTATTCAGCCTCTTAAAATACCACTTGCTACTTCTCTGCTGCTTTTCCCCTGCCCCAGACACCCTCCAGACCACTGAGAGCAAGGAAAGGATGGGGATGTCTGCTGGGATTCCTGGTGATGCCAGTGGCACCTTTGCAGAGCTGCTTTGGGATCTGGGGGGCCTGGGGGGCTGGTGACCCTCCGGATGGGCCCTTCCTGCACCCTGCTTGCAATGCAGCAAACAGGAAACGTGGGAGCACCGGCAGTTGAGTGTAACCCAGAGCGGAAAGTGCCTTGAGTAAGAGCAAGAGAGCACAGGAGCAGCATCCCCCGGCCCCGGGCACCCCGAAACTGAGGGTCCCTCTCGGCCAGAGGGGAAGGTGAGATTTGGTGCTCAGGGAGGGCTCCTGCAGCACCTCGAGAACAAGAAAAGCAAGGAAAGGAAGGGGTTTTCTCGCTGTTGGTGAGCTGGGGCGGGGGGGGGGCTGCTTCTTGCTGCCTGTGGGGGGACCGTGGCTGATGGGCCTCTGCTGATGGCTGGGAGCAGTGTGGGGTGTTCCGGACAGGATCAGGTCCCTGGGAGCCGGGGATACCACGGGCTGGGGGATGCGCGGCTCCCATCGCACCCACGCTGCTTGTTCTGTGCCTCTGCTGGGGCTGCGCTGGGTTGGAGCAGGTAACTGGGGGATTCTTCATGCCTTAAACAACCCCAGCGCCCCCCCCCGAGCTCCCACTTCTGCTGTCTTAGTGGCTGGCACCACCATAAAGGCACATGGTTTCTGTTCCCCCCCTCTCCCCCCCCCCAAGCATCCTGTAGGACTCCAGCAGCTCCACAAAGCCCTCTTGATTTAAGGGGATGTTTTGGGGGCCTCTTCCTGTATTTCCAATGCAGGCTGGGATTTAGCACAGGGCTGGAGCAGCCGGGGTCTCTCCAGGCTGGGAGCAGAAAGTGGGGCTGCAGCATGGCCCCCTCTGCGTCACAGCTCCCCATAGCTGTGGGCTCCTTCCCTTGGGTTTTGGCTTTGCCATGCAGAGAACAGCCCCTCATGGGCTCAGTGGCTGTTGGTGCCGCTGCCATCACCCAGGCTTCCTGAAGGCCTCCCCAGCTCTCACACAGCTCCCGAGGTGACTCCCGGCTCTGAAAGCTGGGGGAGGATGACCAAAAGCTGCTGCTGGGCTCTGAGAAGGCAGCTGGGACCAGCCCCTTCTGCCCAGCATCGCTGCGGCTGCTCCTTTGCCAGTGCCACCTCCTGGGTTTCCCCTGGGTGCCGGTGCCCTGCGCATCCTCCATGGGAGGTGTGGGATGGGTGGTGGCAGGAGGAGGTGCTCACCCAGTGGGTGCTGGGCTCGCAGCCGTTGCTCGATCTGGTCAAGGCTGCGCTGCTCTTCCTATTGCCAAACCCAGGGCCCTTTACAGCAGCCAAAGCGCGTTTCCAGCTCAATCCCACTCCACCATCTCCCACCAAGGGCTCCAGCAAGGAGGAGCTGGCCAAGGGTCAACAACCATCAGTGTCCCCTGGACAGGACTGAGCTGGGGGCCATGGCCGAGCGCCGGGCAGGCACCAAGAGCCGGCGCTTGGGCTCCAGCCGACGCAAGGGCTTTGGTGAGGCACCCGCAGCAGCCCCCAGCCCCGGCAAGGAGCCATCATGGGCAGCTGAAATAGTGCAGAGGGTGCAGGAGCTCCTCAGGGAGCAGGACAAGGACCAGGAGGGGTTCGTCACCCACTCGGCCATACAGGTAAGGGATAGGGATGTCTCCTCGGGTCAGATGCTGCTGGGGTGGGTGGAGAATGGGTGATGGGAGGGGTGTTCCCCTGCTTTGCTCTGTTCTTAGAGATTACAGGAGGAAGATCTCCCGTGCAGCACGGAGGAGTTGGAGCTCGTCTTCAATGGGCTGGATGCGGCCGGCACCGGGCGGTTGAGAACTGAGGAATTCACTTTTGGACTCTGTAAGTGCCGGCACGACGCCTCCAAGCTGATCCTGGACATGGCCATAGTGCTTTCCCAGGGGATATCTGAAACACCGCCCTTGCTGGGTGGCAGAGGATGGCCTAAAAGTCGTCCCCTCGTCCGGGTCTCATCCCATGGCTCCACTGGTGAGAGGTCCTCTTGTGCCAGAATGGATTCATCGAAGCCATGGGGTGGGAAGTGTTGGGTTTGGGGCTTTGCTGTCACCCTGGCCTGGCACTGAGGGTTTGGGGTCTCTGTTGACAGGGCAGTTCCTGAGCTCCCAGAAAGCTGCCAGGGACCATCGTCGGCAGAAAACAGCATCGCGGAGGGTCCCCTTGGTCCTTCCCAGCCCGGCGCTGGAGGAGGTGGACAGTGAGGAGCGGAGGCAGTTCTCTGCCTTTATGGACCAGTTGGGCACGGACAACATCTCTGAGGAGTAGGCCGCCCTGATTAGCACCCATGGGTGTCCTGCTGGATGGGGTGGACAGGGAAAGGCTTGGGCAGGAGTGAGGGAGTGAGCCCAGAAATGACTTGGAGCTGCCTTTGGCCCCAGGACAGGATCATGCTCACCCCCGTGCTCATCTGTCCCCCAGGACCATGCATCCTTAACAGTGTGAGCTAAATCTTAGAAGGAGCCAGGTTAGAAAAGCCCTTTCAGCTCCTCCAGTCCAACCATTCCCAGCACTGCCAAGGCCACCCCTAACCCATGGCACTGAGGCCTCGTCTCCACGCTGTGTGAACACTTGCAGGGACGGTGACTGCAGCCCTGCCCTGGGCAGCCTGTTCCAATGCCTGAGCACCCTCTGGGGCAGGAATTGTTCCTCAGCTCCATCTAAACCTGCCCTGGGGCAGCTTGAGGCCGTTTCCTCTTGTCCCATCCCTTGTTCCTTGGGAGCAGAGCCCAGCCCCTCCTGGCTCCATCCTCAGGCAGCTGTAGGCAGCCATCAGGTCCCCCCTGAGCCTTCTCTTCTCCAGCCTGAACCCCCCAGGTCCCTCAGCCCTTCCCCATCAAACTTGTGCTCCAGGCCCTGCACCAGCTCCGCTGCCCTTCTCTGGCCCCGCTCCAGCCCCTCAATGTCTCTCCTGTAGTGAGGGGCCCAGAGCTGAACACGGGATTCGAGGTGCGGCCTCACCAGTGCCCAGTGCAGGGGGAGTCAGTACCCCACATGGTGACCCAGGGCCCCATAGCTGGCCTGCTTTGGGAGGGGGTTGAGGGCGTTTCACACAGAACACCTCCCTGCAGACAGGAGATCTGGGAGCTCTGGCGGAAGCTCCGGCAGGATGAACCCCAGCTCCTGGACGCTCAGGAGGACTTTGTGGCCAAGGTGAGGCACCGCATCCAGGAAGTGAGGAACAAGAAGGAGGCTTTGAAGGAGACCCTGAACAAGTGAGTCAGCCCTGGGCAGTGGAGAGGGGTGGCACGGGAAGGATGGGGCCACCCAAGGAGGGAGAAACCTGGGTGTTCCCAGCAACTCCATCAGCAGCTGGAGCAGAGGCTTCGCAGGGAGCTGCCTTTTGGGGTCGGGCTCCCTCTGCAGTCCCACATGGGATGGCCAAAGCGCTGGGATCAGCCTGCGGGGCACATCCTAGCCGGGAGAACCCCTCCAGGCAAACCCTGCTGCAGCCCGCGGGCAGCGTGGGGGCCTGCACCCGCAGCAGCAGGGTCTGATCGCCCAGCCCTTGGCCTCGCTGTCCCCGGCAGACGCGTGGCCGAGCACGGCAGGGAGGTGCAGCGGCTCTGCGGGGCTCTGGAGCAGCGGATCCAGGGGGAGCAGCAGCGGCTGGAGCAGGAGGTGGGTCCCGGCTCCTCCGCTCCCCTCACTGCCGGCCCCAGGAGGGGCCCAGCACCCCCCTGGCAGCTCCCGGGCGGGTCAATGGGTGCTGATGTCCCTGCTGCCGTCCCAGAGCGTGGCCCCGAGCCCCCAGCGTGCGGCGGAGCTCCAGCGAATGCTGGATGCCGGTGAGAAGGAGGTGCAGCGCCTGCTCACAGCGCAGCTGGAGGTGAGCTGGCCCCAGCTCCCGGTCCCCCTTCCTGCATGCGGGGTCTCTGCGCTAGGCTGTAGCAGCAGCACTGTGCAGTAGAGCTGAGCCCAGGCTGTGCCCACCAGCTCCTGATGTAGTTGTCACACCCCTATCCCCACTCTCCATCCCCAAAGGACCCAGGCTGGGTTTCCCCGCCACGGCCCCAGGTCTAGAGGAGCTGGGTGCCCGTCAGTTCCCTTTCTGCGTGGGGGTCCTGGCAGGTCTCAGCGTCCTTGTTGCCATCCCACAGCTGGAGACACGGTGCCACAGCCTCCGCAGCATGCAGGAAGCTGCCAGCACCGAGAACCGGCAGCTTGAGGAGAGCAAGCGGGTGCTGGAGCAGCACCTCCAGCACCTCCACCAGCAGCTCCAGCAGACCCACGGGCGCCTGCGGGCAGTGAGGGCTGCAGTGGCTTGGGAGCACGTGGAGGAGCCGGGGTGAGTGGCTGAGTGACCATCATATCCCTGTGCACACACGTGGTTTCCTCCTGGGGTTAATGCTGTTTGATGGGTCTGAGGCTTCACAGGGCTTTAGTGGTCTCCACAGTGCAGAGTAGAATCACAGCATCATAGGTTTGAAAAGACTTTTAGGATCAAGTCCAGCTGTTCCCCAGGCCACCACTAAATCATGTCTGTCACTGAGGGCCTCATCTATGTGGTCTGTGAATACTTAACCATGGCTTGGTGCGAAAAGCATCAGTAAAAAGCCAGGTCTGTCAGTACCATGTCTCTTTGAGGGCAGTGCCTGCAGAGATGGGGATGTCCCTACTCAGAAAGACCTAACCAGCACTGATCCAAAAGCTGTCCTGCTCCAGCCCACCACTGCTTGTGGGGCTGAGGACAGCGTGGGGCAGGGGTGGATGTGGTGGAGAGGATGCAACTGCCATTTTGACCACTGCGCTCTGTGTTTGCAGGGGCAGAGCAGTGGCAGAGCTGCCCAGCGAGACACCCGTGTCCCCAAAGGTACTTCAGCTGGGATATGGGGTCTTCAGTGGGGATGGGATGAGGTGTCCATGCTCCATAGCATTGTGCTGTTTGGTTTGGGACCATTGGGAAGCCCAAGAGCACAGGGTGCTTCTGCAGCAGGGGCAGTGCCTCCCCTAAAAGCTTTCTCACTGGATCAATATGGTGCCATAGAGATGTGTGGGAAGGGGGGGGGGAAGCACCCCCAAGATTTCTTGTGGGTACATCTCGATACCTGCTGGAGAGCCCAGCATTGTTTCAGGTGGGTTCACCCCCTCATCAAGCATTTTCCTCTCTTCTTCCCACCCTGCTTACTGCAGATGAGTCGGGAGCACAGCAAGAAGTACCGCTCCAAGACGCAGATGAGGGGGGAGTCCCAGAGCAGTGAGCCCAAAGCCAAGAGCACCCACCAAGTGTAAGGGGTCCTGGGTAACACCTGCTGCTTCAGCTTGTGCCCCCGAGGTCTGCAAGTCCTCCTCCTGCCCCAGGCAAACACCATGTTTAGTCCTTTCGGGGCTCCTTTCCCTCCCACCCATCTGGAGATCAGGACCCTTCACAGAATCCCAGGCTGGTTTGTGTTGAAGGGACCTTAAAGCTCCTCCAGCTCCAGCCCCTGCCACGGGCAGGGACCCCTTCCACTAGAGCAGCTTGCTCCAAGCCCCTGTGTCCAACCTGCCCTTGAACACTGCCAGGGATGGGGCAGCCACAGCTTCTCTGGGCACCCTGTGCCAGCGCCTCAGCACCCTCACAGGGAAGAGCTTCTGCCTCAGAGCTCAGCTCAGTCTCCCCTCTGGCAGGTTAAAGCCATTCCCCTTGGCCTGTCCCTACACCCAAGCCCCTCTCCAGCTTTCCTGCAGCCCCTTCAGGCACTGGAGGTGCTCTCAGGTCTCCCCTTCAGGAGCCTTTTCCCCAGGCTGACCCAGAGCTGCTCCAGCCCTCGCAGCATCAAGCGAGCTAACCCCAGCTTCACCCTGCATCACTCCATTGGCTCAAGCACTTGCTGTATCTGGCTGAACGTTTCCTTTTCACCTCAGTAATGTGAACCTGGAGCCTGCGAAGGGACACGCTCACTTCCCAGCCAGGACATGGCCATGGGTTTGGCTCCCTGAGCGGGCATCCCCCTTTCCCCTGTCACCTTCACTGCCTGTGCAAGCCTCCAGTATCCCCAGAGGGTCAATAAAACCGGGTCTGGAGAGGGATGGGGTGAGGTGGCAGAGCAGAGACCCCCTGGTACTGGCCCAGGAGGATGAGAGCGAGCTGGGGGCTGAGCTGACCCTCCCCATTTTCTGCCCTTTCCAGGGTGTGGGAAATGCTGCCTGCAGAAGTAAGCCTTCTGGGAGCCCCGCAGGGAGCGAGCTCTGTGGAAGAGGACCCCTGCCCAGAATCTCTGAAAGAGGAATGGTTCTCTGTCCAGAGCTCTTTGCTAAGAGAGGTGGATGATGCAACAGCAGCTCTGAGCAAACAGCTGAAGCCACAGGCACCAGGTGCACCCCCTGCTCCAGCAAACACTGCACATCACCCCCAGGATGATGCTGAGCCCCAAATGGGGCTGGAGGAAGGCACAGCACATGGAACAACCCCCAGGGTGCAACAAGAGACCCTCTCTGGTCATACTGGTCACAAGCTGTTTGAAGGAGACATGGAAGAAGGACCAGGCACAGCTCCAGATGTGCCACAGGCTGGTGCGTCCACGGGAGCTGGGCACCACAGGGCTCAGGAGCCAGAGCAGGGAGAGGAGGAACAAAGGATGTTATTCCCGCAAGGAAAGGGTGGTGGTGTGAAGGAGGCGATGCTAAAGGTGGCGGAGCATCTCCAGGGAGCACTGGGAGAGAACACGGAGGCAGGAGAGCAGGTCCTGATGGAGGTGGAGGGAGCAGGATGGATGCAGGAAAAAACAAGCTGGGAAAAGGCACGGCTCCTGGGAGAAGCTGAGGAAGTGGCATTAAGCCAGGGAGAAAACCTGGAGGCAGGTCTGGGGTCACCAGGGGCTGGGGAGGCAGGTCTGGGGTCACCAGGGGCTGGGGAGGCAGGTCTGGGGTCACCAGGGGCTGGGGAGGCAGGTCTGGGGTCACCAGGGGCTGGGGAGGCAGGTCTGGGGTCACCAGGGGCTGGGGAGGCAGCTCTGGGGTCACCAGGGGCTGGGGAGGCAGCTCTGGGGTCACCAGCGGCTGGAGAGGCAGGTCTGGTTGTGCGACAGCACCTTGGCATGGATGAGCTTCACCCAGCTGCACCTCAGCCCCTGGGCACGGGGCTGGGGGAAGAGGCTCAGCCACCACTGAGGCTCTCCAAGGAACTGGAAATGAAGGCAGGAGAGCTCCTGGAGCCAGAGCCACCACCGCAGGGTGAGGTACGAATAGGAGCAGCCCAGGGGCACAGTGTCCTTCCCGAGGTGACTGCGGCTCTTGGCCCCGGGATGCTGGAGCAAGATGATACTGTCAGGGCAGAGGTGAAGCTCCAGGGAGAGACCTTGGGTGCTGAGGTGCTGCCAGCCCAAGCTCAGCATGGAGCTGGAACCGAGGAAAGGGAGGTGCAAGTAGCCCAGGGAGAGTCTGCAAGGGGAGATGCAGAGCAGGGCCGGAGTGCCGGTGCAGGGGTGCCAGTGGTGCACGAAGGGGGAGCAGGAGCAGATGTGCCACCGCTGGAGGCGCAGAGCAGCAGGGCCAACGTGCAGCTGCGGGCAGAGGTGGAGGCGGCTCTGCAGCCACGGGCTGAGCCTGGCTCCCTGGGGACAAAGCAGGGAGGGAGCGCGGCTCCAGATGTGCAGCCCCTGGAGGAGGGTGATCGACCAGAGCTAGGGCTGGGGGAGGACACGGGTGCTGCTGTGGTGCATGGCGAGGGTCCTTCCCCAGCAGAAATGTCTTTGGGGAGCCCAGCCCTGTGTGGGCTCTTCCCAGTTAAGGCTCAGGCATTGGAAATGGTGGAGGCAAAGGACTCCTGGGCAGATATGCAGCTACATAGGAGTTCCAGTCCAGAAACACCCCAGGGAGAGGAGGGCCATACAGTGGTACCTCTCCTGGAGGAGGATGAGGATGGTGCACAAGAGCAGGGTGAGCATGGGCTGCCACAGGAGCCTGTGCTTGATCCACAGGGAGCAGGATTTGGGCAGGGAGAGGAGCCTGCTGCAGGCGTGCAGCCACAAGAGGATGCTGAAAGCCTGGACAGGCTGGAGGACCAGAGCACTGGTGCAAGTGTGCAGATGCTTGCAGAGATGGATGAGGTCAAAGAGATCTCAGGCTGGAACACTGAAGGGGATCTGCAGCTGCTGAGTGAGGTCAGCTCCCTGGGTACGGAGCAGGGAGGGAGCGTGGTTCCAGGTGTGCAACCTCTGGATCAGGTCGATAAAGCAGAGTTAGTGGAATTGGAGGTAGAGGATTCCACAGCAAATGTAGAGCTGCATGGGGGTCCTAGTATTGAAACCCTCCATGGGGGTGAACACCATGCGGCCTTGCAGCTTGTGGAGGAGGATGAGGATGGGGAAGAGGGGCAGAGTGAGTGTGGGCTGCCACATGAGCCTGTGCTTCACCCCAATGGAGTGGCCATCAGGCAGGGAGAGGGGGCTGCTGGAGGCATGCAGCCATGGGAGGAGGCTGAAAGCCTGGACAGCCTGGAGGACCAGAGCACTGATGCAAGTGTGCAGATGCTTGCAGAGATGGATGAGGTCAGAGTGACCCCAGGAGGCAGCACAGAGGCAGATCTGCAGCTCTGGAGCGAGGTCAGCTCCCCAGGGACAGAGCAGGGAGGGAGCGTATCTCCAGATGTGCCAGATGAGCAAACCCTGGATCAGGTTGATAAAGCAAAGTTAGTGGAAACGGAGGCAGAGGACTGGGCAGACATGGAGCTGCATGGGGGTCCGAGCCCAGAAACAGCCCAGGGACAGGGGGGGCATGCAGCCCTACATCACATGGAGGAGCCTGAGGATGGTGCACAAGAGCAGGGTAAGAGCGGGCTGCCCCAGGAGCCTGTGCTTCACCCCCATGGGGTGAGGCAGGGAGAGGGGGCTGGTGCGGGTGTGCAGCTCCATGCAGAGGCTGTAATCCTGGGCACACTGCAGGCTCAGAGCACTGCTGCCGATGTGCAGCCTCCTGCAGAAGTGGATGAGCTCGAAGTGACCCCCGAGGCAGATCAGCAGCTCCTGAGTGAGGTCAGCTCCCTGGATACAGAGCAGGGAGGGAGCGTGGCTCCAGATGTGCAACCTCTGGATCAGGTCAATAGAGCAGAGTTACTGGAAACAGAGGCAGAGGACTGGGCAGAGATGGAGCTGCATGGGGGTCCCAGCCCAGAAACAGCCCAGGGAGGGGGGTACCATGCAGTCATGCAGCTTGTGGAAGAGGATGAGAATGGGGAAGAAGGGCAGGGTGAACACGGGCTGCAGCAGGAGTCTGTGCTTGATCCGCAGGGAGCAGGATTTGGGCAGGGAGAGGGGGCTGCTGCGGGTGTGCAGGCACAGGACAAGGCTGTAATCCTGGACGGGCTGGAGGCCCAGAGCACTGATACGAGTGTGCAGCCACTGACAGGGCCAGAGGAGCTCAGATCAAGCTCAGGAGGGAGCCCAGAGGCAAATGTGGGTGCAGCTGGGATGCAGGAAGGGGAGCAGAGGCACACTCCAGGCTCAGATGTAGCTCACACTGCAGAAGGGTGTGGGGAAGCTGGCGGTGCTCATGTGTCCCCCCCAGCTGAGGCCACTTCGTATCCTGAGCGTGTCGCTGCTCCCAAGGCTCCTGGTGTGGAAGCAAAGCAGGGAGCACTCACTGGTCCTGATGGGCAGATCCTGGAGGATACCCAGACACTGCAGTTACCAGGGGGAGAGAGAGCTGCTGCAGAGAGGAGACCTCTGGATGGAGCTCAAGGTCTGGAAGAGGGGCAGGGAGAGAGGCTGGAGGCAGGGGTGAGGAATTTAGTGGAAGCTCAGGCTCTAGGGCTAAAGCAGGGCCATGATGATGGTGCATCTGCACCAGCCTTCCCAGTCTCCAAGGTGCCATTACAGATCAGCACACTAAAGCTGGAAGCAATGATGCAGGAGGATGTTCTTGTTCCAGATGTGTGGCCGTTAGGTGCTTCAGGACAGGCAGCCCAAAGTGAGCTCCAGGAGCAGGTCTCAGCAGAGGCAGAGAAGCCACCACACGCAACGGAAACAGAGAAAGCAGCTGCTGGACCTGCTGAGCTTCCAAAACAAGAAGTGGCACCAGCATCACCCCTTCACACAAGGGTCCTACAGGAGGAAGATGCTGGGAATGATCAGCTGGGGACAGTTCTTGGAGGCAGCTCACTGGGGGATGCAGCCAGCATGCAGCCTCAAAGGCAGTCGTTGGGAGAACAGAGCAAAGACCTCGATGTTGATCGATGGAAGAAGCAGGAGGTTGGAAGGAAAATGAGCCAGGAAGGAGAGCCAAGTCCAGGGGAGCCAGGGACTGTCACTGCAGATGGGGCAGGAGCTGCCCCAAGGGGTTCTCCTAAAGCCCCCCTGGACCCAGATCACCTCTACAATGTGCTGTTTGTCGGGGACTCCCATGTGGGCAAAACATCGTTCCTGTACCGGCTGCATGCTGACACCTTCAACCCGCACCTCACCGCCACCGTAGGTAGGTCTCCTCCAGCTTCTCTCCAGCACAGCTCTGCACCCGCTTGGGTCTCCATTGCAATTCCCTTTCCTCCACCCCACAAGCTCCTGGTGATCATTTCAGGCATGTTACAGCTCACATCAGGTGTGCTACACAACCTGTCACCAAGGACCAAAGAGGAGCACTGACTTAACACACCTGTATGCTCTGCAGCAGGCGATGCTGGTCCTTGTTGCTCACTCTAGGGCACCAACACCAGTGTTCCTAGTGCTTTTCTCTCTGCTTGGCTTTCATTTCTCTTCTCCTCTCTTAACCAACCTGGTTTTATTCATCATGAGATCAGAGACCTTCCCCAAACCCCAGCCATTAAGGATCTAAAAGCCAGAGGTTCACTTGAGACCAGTCCCCTTGTGCAGCAACCTTAGGTCATACCTGCACCATGTGCCTTCTCCATCCACCTCCTGTCACAGGGATGAACTCTATAGTACAGAGATATCCCTTTTTGTGTCTCCTAGGACTGGATTATCAGGTGAAAAGCTTTGTCGTGGACAACAAGTGCTTTGCTCTCCGCCTGTGGGACTCAGCTGGTCAAGAAAGGTGAGTGCTGAGCTGTCTGCTTACAGAGAGCAACCTCTGGTGTTCCTCATTCTGGTAGTTTGGAGGATATGGATGTTCTTGGCTCTGCTAAGCAAAGGAGGGTTGTTTAAGGACAGACTCTGTACAGTACATGGTGTGATAGAGCGTAATAAAGGAAGTAATTAGGATAAAAATAAGCATCAGGCTGCTCGTGCTGACTCTACGATCAGCGTAGGAGCAAAATCTGGGTTTGCCTTTTTTTATACACATTCTTTCCCATCGGGATTCCATATTTCTTCTAGGGAAAACCTCCCCAGACCATATCAATGACCATTTAAAATGCATGCAGGTACCACAGCATCACCAAGCAGTTCTTCCGGAAGGCGGATGGGGTTGTGCTGATGTACGATATCACATCCGAGTATTCCTTCTTGGACGTGCAGTACTGGCTGAGCTGCATCCAGGTGGGTGAAGCAGGAAAACCTCATCCTGTCCCCAAGGTCTTGGAACTGGAGGTGACTCTGAGATCAGTGTTTTCTCCCCTTGACATCTGCCACTGGTTAGGGATGGACATCTTGGGGTGACCAAGCCCTTTGTAAAGAGCATTCTGCTTTGGTTTTGGTTAAAAATAGTTTTTCTTGGAGGATTTAAATTCAAATAGTGACAGTTTCACATTTTCCACATTTGTTTCCTAGGGTAATTTGTTAATAGTAACATGATGATAATGATCAACTTCAATTCAAAAGCACTGCAGAGGATTGAAAGTGATTTTGATAACACTTATAAATCAAGAATAGTCCCCTTTGAGTCCTGGGGAATGGGAGGTAACTTGTGTCTTATTACAAACTGCTTGCCAGAGATTTCCAATCAAGTACAAAATCAGTGTTTAAAAACACCAGAACAAAACAGGATGTCACCTTGCTCAGCCAGAGCATCTCTGGAGGGTTCCTGAAGTTGAACACAAAGTGGACTCATCCAATGCTCTGCCCTTTAACAGACCAGGTTAGATGATTTAATAGCAAAAATAAAATCCCTTTCTTAAATGCTGCTAAACTCATTTAAGAATTTAATGTTTTGGTATCAGCCCAAATCTGTGGGCATCCTTCACACTGCTCCAGGATGTGTCTAGACAGTGTGGCCGGCTGTGATCCAGGGGAGGTTGAGATGTGCTCCTGATCCTACCCTCTTTAACTGCCAGGAAGGAGCAGAAGATGGAGTCGCTATTCTGCTTCTTGGGAACAAAACTGACTGTGCTGCAGAGAGACAGGTCCCTATGGAGCAGGGGGAACGCCTGGCCAAGGTAGGTGCATGGCCCTGCTAAAGCATGTGTCCACCCAGGTTAGGCAAGGACAGCTAAGGGTGGATTCCACCAGCCTGGGGACACAGAGAAAGGCTAAAGTCCTTAACTTCCCCGTCATGCATTGGTCATCATAAAGGTGATCTCTGAACCCATCTTCCACCCTTCTCTGCCTTGCTTTCTCCTTGTCATCTTAGTTCTGACTCAGCATCACCCCAGTAAAACAGCTTTTATGGAGCTGGATCTATAAATGAAAATGTTTTCAGCTCTGCTTCTCTTTGCTGGGAAGTGTCACAGATCTTCCCAGCATCATGCGATTTATAAAACCACCAAATTATTCTGGTTTAATGATATGAAATGCTTGAAGTACAATTAACCTCTTCCAATAAAAAATTAGGTGAGAACAATCTCACCTTTACCAACTTAAATTTTATGGGATTTGGGCCAGTATCCAGTGACCAGTTTTCATAGAATCCCAGCCTGGTTTGGGTTGAAGGGAGCTTAAAGCTCCTCCAGCTCCAACCCCTGCCACGGGCAGGGACCCCTTCCATAGAGCAGCTTGCTCCAAGCCCCTGTGTCCAACCTGCCCTTGAACACTGCCAGGGATGGGGCAGCCACAGCTTCTCTGGGCACCCTGTGCCAGCGCCTCAGCACCCTCACAGGGAGAATTTACAGATTTCACAAATGAAGACAGCAGGACAAGGGATAGATGCTTTTTTCCCCCCAAAGCAGTCACTGGCAGGCACAGAAGACCTGGGATCATGCAGTTACATCTCCGTATTTGCTCCACTAACCAGAGGGCATCACATCACATTCTGTCCGCCTTTTCCTTGGTATTAAAAGTCAGTGTTGCAGCTACCAGAAAAGCTGGATTTCACCCTCATATTCCTGTAAATAAGTTACTGAGTCATTTGTTTCCCTGAGTCCCTCCTATTTGCCCTGTGATTGTCCTGTGGCTATTACTCATTTACTCCCATATTAAGCTATTCAAGTGTAAGAATATTACATTTCTATGTGTGCTCTGTGTCTTGAAGGAGCATCAGCTCATGTTTTATGAATGCAGTGCTGCCTCGGGCCACAACATCTCCGAGTCCATGGTCAGCTTGATCAGGTGAGGTGTGTGCTTGGATTTTGCCAGCTCTCCTGATTTTAATGGGCTCCCTCGCTACCTTTTTAACCCCAAATGCTGGTGGGTTTGTGTCACCGGAGACTCCATGTGCCCAAATATCAGGGAAAACTCAGAACAGCATGTGCATGGCTGGGGTGAGGTGCAGGTTAAGTGCTGAAAGATGTGTCCTGAATTAGTAAGAGATCAATAAAATCCTTTTCAGGATGCTGCTGATTTCTCTCTTGGTTGACAGACAATAAATTCTCTCTGTGGCTTGATTTAGGGTGGCTTTTTTAGCAGAGTCCATGGTACTCAAATCATGCTGAGCTGGAAGGCTCCTAACGCCTTTCATTTGTGCTGAGCCCCCTTTGACAATGCTTATCAAGACAAATAGCACAGAAATACAAAATATGGGGGAAATATTTGACTAATTTGCTTCCTTTTCTCCCAGGTTGCTCAAAGTGAATGAGGATAAACTGAAAAATAAGGCAGAAGAGGTACCAAAGCTACCTCAGAAGAAAAAGAGCTGCTGCTGGTGATGGAGAGACCCCCACATGCGATCTGAAACTGCAGTGACAGCCAGAAAAGCATAAAAATAGCCTTCAGGCACCATCTCTGCTCCCCATGTGTCTGCCTGGCCCCATGCCCTTCAGATGCTGAGAGCAAAAGTCGCTGTGGAGGAGTGGCTGTTACCCAGCCCCTTCTCTGCTCATCTCCTGCCACCATCCCAGAGGACAGGAGCCCTTGTAAATACTTGTTGGGAAACTTTACTGCTTTCTTTTGAAGACACAAAATGGGCTATGGAAAGAGGCAGAATAGGAAATTAGACAGATCTGAGATGCTGGAATGATATTGGAAGCAGCAGGGAGCAAAACCGAGTCTTGGGATGAAAGACATGAATACCAGGAGTCACCAAAGGCTGGTGTGTAAAACAGGGGGTTTAGGGCTGTTGGTGCTGCTGTGTGGTGGTGTCTTTTGCTCTGGCTTTGCAATCTGATCTGGAACAATGAAATATGGAATATATCCTAAATGCACTTTTAACTCCCTGCAGTTAGGCAAGGTAAAGTTAAGTTTTTCTCTTTCCTGGTTTATTGTGCCAGTGAGCAGCAATGGGTCTTGACAGAAAACTGCTAAAAACTGCTTAAAACAAATGTAAAACCTCCCAAAACACATCCAGGATAATAGAAAGAGCACTCAGGTGGTGGGATGTGGGAGCAGGTAAATGCTTGCAGGAGCTCTTTTCATTGCATTGCCCCCAGAGCAGGTATTTGCACTACTGCAGATCTCAGGGTGAGGAGGGCAGAGCAAGCTGCTGCACCCTGCCCTTCTGCACTGAGGTGGCTGCTGTATGAAGTACTGAATTGGGGTCAAAAAGAAAACCCAGTGTGAAAAACCTAAACAAGCATATTTGAAGGGGGTTTTAATTATTTTTCTTTCTACAGCTTCATGCAGAGAACTGTATTTTTTGCAGAGAAAGACATAGAGACTGAATAAATAAAATGACAATTGCTGTGTTTTAATGGTTTTCTGTGTTACAGGTGTTGCCTTGTCCTTCAGCAAGGAGAGGTATTTAAAGACCATGCTTTCATGCAGATTTGGGGGAAAATAGTTCTGCTCAGATGGGTTTGCCTTTCGTTGACATTATTATCTATATATACATTATGGCAGAGCAGAATAGCAGCCAGTTTCTGCTTTATAACAATGCAGTGACAAGAAGCGTTGGTTTCCTAATAACACTATATGCTAAAGAAAAGGATATCATTCTGCATGTTTCTGACTGTTATAGCCCAGCTTTCCCAGGAAACAAGGCTTAGGAGCTCCTGCTGCCCGTGTATGTGTACCTGTTGGTACAAAAGTCCCTGGTGAGGAGCAATTGCAAAGCTCTGAGATGCTGTGACTTGTGTGAATAAAGGCCTGAGTAACTGAGACTAATTAATACCCCCATTGATGGAAAAAATGCAGTTTAAGTTTAGTCTCTATCATGATAAATCTCCATGGGAGAGACCTGCAGGGCACAGAGCCAGGTGAGAGCAGACCTTCTTGGTTCTGCTGCTCACAGAATTACCTCTTCAAAATGGGCCAGCTCTGTGTGATACCCAAAAGTCCTCAGTGGAAACGACGCTGATTTCTAGATGGAGATGGACCAAGCTCATGCTTGGAAAGATCAGGGTTATGAGCTTCTCCAGGTAGGGTACAACTTTGCAGTGATGCAGGAACTGAGGAGTCATTTTGAGATGAGTTATCTCCTCTGCTTGCCCCATCTCAGTGTTACCTCTGCACTACTGAAGCTCCCATCCCATCCCCTAAATGTCTTTGGGATTTGGGTCTAGGCTGCTCCTAACCAAAAGCCAACTTCCTTTGGCTCTGTTGTTGAAAGACCCTCTTTTCTTAATGCAATATATTTACACCCCCATTCCGTATCAGTCTTTACCATATTTCATTATTGAGATATTTTCCTGATGGAGAAGTGGGAGCAGCCTGAAGATCACAGCTCCTCAGGAAGAGTTCCTCAGCTGAGAGCTGTGCCTGGGTTCAGTATCTGGGGGATCTTTCTGGCTTTTTTTTTTTTTTTTACTGGTGTTTGGGCCCATCTTCACTATTTCTGCTTTGCTGGTTTGTCTTTAAATAATGTAATTCCAAGCACACTTTGCCAAGGCTGAATTCGTACAGTCCCAGACTGGTTTGGGTTGAAGGGACCTTAAAGCTCCTCCAGCTCCAACCCCTGCCACGGGCAGGGACCCCTTCCACTGGAGCAGCTTGCTCCAAGCCCCTGTGTCCAACCTGCCCTTGAACACGGCCAGGGATGGGGCAGCCACAGCTTCTCTGGGCACCCTGTGCCAGTGCCTCAGCACCCTCACAGGGAAGAGCTTCTGCCTAAGAGCTCAGCTCAGTCTCCCATGTCTCAACCTGATTCTCCCATTAGATGGCAGCAAATGCAGCAACACCTTCCAACTGCAACACTGCTTCTGCAAAGAAAGAAACAAGGAGCTTGGAAAGGGCCCAGAAGAAAGATCTGCGAAACAAAAGCTTCCCAGAACAGCAAACAGAAAGAAACGTCGGTCTAATTCCACTAGAAATTACAGACTGAGTTTGTGCCCAAAGCATAAAACAAGGGTTAACTCCACTCCAGAGCTCCCCTCCAAACCTGGAAATGGATTTTTCATTGCCAGGTTGAGAGAAATGCCAGGAAGGCGATAAAGGATATTGGGAAGTATGACCAGGGCGTTGCATTTGCAAGCATCTTTCACCTTTAATAATTCATAATCCCAGTAAACTTTCCCACTCCAGAATCCAATGGACCGCTCCTCTGCAAGCTGTTAAATGCATGCATGAGCGTTTGGAGGAAGATCAAGGGCTGAGATATTAATAGCAAGAGGGAGATGCATGTTTGTTTGGACCACAGGAATTCTGGTTTAAAATCGGGCTGCTTCCCTTTGAGCCATTTGTAATTGCTCAAGGCACTCCACAGGAATTAGAGGAGCTGCCCCAGCCAAACCCAGGTTCAGAAGATCTCGGATACCAGCCCAAGCTCAGCGGGCGTTTGCCACCATCTCACTTTGATGCTTCCACTTTGAAAGCAGAGAACCCAGACGAGCTCTTGCTAAGTCAGAACAAATCATCAGCCAAAGCTTCCAGTGTCCCAGCCCCTGGGTTTCGGGTCTCACCCAACAGCGTCTCCCTGAATTTCCCCCCATTCCCCTTGAAAGGGAAATCAGGATATGGAGAGCATCGCACTTCCCGCGCTGGGATGGACAGGGCAGGAAGTTCAAACCTGATCAGAGGAAGTACTTTTTCTCGCAGTGTTTAATTCAACTGCAGAATTCATCACTGCAGGAAGTTGTTGAGGCCAAGAACTTAAACAAGGCTCCAAAGGGACTGGGGAGATACCAGAAAAACCCCTCACAGCCACAGCCAACCACCAATTGAAAATGCATTTAAGTGCAGTTAAGGACTGAAGCCCATATCGGGGGGCTGGGTAAGGCTGAGACCCCTCAATCCTCATTTCTTCCAAGCTTTTCATGTCAGGGGTGGCTTTGGAGACCTCCTCTTGCTCCATCCGCCAGCCCTTTACTCCTGCAGGCCTTTCCCATACATTTTAGGGTTTTCCCATGCTTTTTAGGGGGTTAACACCCTGTGCACGGTCACCACTTGTCACTGAGCTGTGGGAATGGACACCCACATCCCCAAGGGGCTGGGTAAGCGGGGCTTGGGGGGCACTGGCTGGGTCTGTTGGGGAGCACAAAGGCAGCTCGGCAGAGCTGGAGGAGGTAAATGGGCCCGGTGGGGCTGCTGTAGGGTTTGGGAGGGTGTAAGGGCTGAGGGGTGGGTGCTGTGGATGGATGCTGGGGGATAGAGAGGTGTCATGGGTGCTGTGGATCTGGCTATGAAAGGCATTGGAGGTGCTGGGGGGGTCTCAGGGGTGCTGGGGTGGGGGGTGTCTGAAGGTGCTGATTTAGGTCTGAGGATGCTGAGGACTTAGTTTTGGGGGGTCTTTTGGTAATGTGGGAGGTCAGACAGGTGCTGGGGGGGTCTCAAGGTGATCATGGGCTCAGGTGGGTGCTGGGGGGGGTGTGTGTCTGGGGGGTCTCAGGGTGGTCAGGCTGGTGCTGGGGGTTCAGGGGTGTGTGTGGGGTCTGATGGTGTTGGGGGTTCAGGCAGGGGCTGGGGGGTGTTGAGGGTACCCATGGACTCAGGTGGGTGCTGGACGGGGTGCCTTAGGGTGCTGGGGGCTCCAGTGGGTGTTGGGGGTGTCTGTGGGCAATGGGAGGGGGTCAGGCTGGTGCTGGGGGAGTTAAGGGTGGCCTTGGGCTCAGGTAAGTGCTGGGGGGTGCCACAGGGATACGGGCCGGGGGTCCCCGTGTTCTGGGCTTAAACGGGAGCTGGGCATTGCAGGGGCATTCTGGGCTCCGGTGGGTGCTGGGGGGGGGGTCTCAGGCCCACGCGGGAGCGGGTACCTGGGTGCTGGGGGGGTCTTCAGTGCCGCCGGGGGTGGCTCTGGGGGCGCTGGGCCGGGCCGGGCCATGGCGGAAGCAGGAAGCGGCGGCCCGGCCCCCGCGTCCCGCCTCCATCGCGGGCGGGAGGAGCCCGGAGCCGGGCGGCGGAGCGGGGCAGCCGCCGGGCGGTGCCGGGGTGAGGCCGGGGGCGGCTGAGAAGGGGGGGGACGGGGCGGGGGTCCGGGAGGGGGGGGGGGTGCCCGGAGCAGCGGGCACGGCCGGGCCTCGGCCCCTCACTGCAGGCCCGGGCCTGGGGGGGCTCCCGGGCCTCAGCGAGGCGCTCGGCAGGCGCCCGGCGGTGGCGGTGGGCGCTGGGTTTTGCTCCAGTTTATTGACTTGCAAAGCAATGTAATCATCCCGGCTGGAGCTGCCGCTTCAGAGGAGCGAGGGCGCTCCCGGGGCCCGTCCCTTTCCGCAGGGCTTGGGGCTGGGACCTGAGCCCCCGAGCAGGGCTGAGGGAGGCCGCGCAAGCGGTGCTGAAGCAGGGGCCGGATCCTGTTTGTGTCGCTGTTTCAGGTGCAGCAGCAAGGCGAGCCCCGTTCCCTTCTAACGACTCCCCCGACAGCGCTGCTCTCTAAATACTCAGCTTTGCAAAGCCTGGCTCTGAACACCCAGCACACATCGGGGCCAAGAGCTGGGCCCTTGCGTGGAAACCCTCCAGGCTGAGAGCTGCTGCTGCTTATGTGTGTGGAGAGCTGCTTATTGCTGCCAGGGTGGTGGAGTCCATAAGGGAATACGATAGCAGATGGGTGCCTGAGTTGAAGAGGCCTGGCTCTGAGGGGCTGCTGTTTGCAAGGGATAAGGCTCGCTCAGTGTGTGTGTGTGATGGTGAAGAGGGTACAGTAGTCTGTTGTTATTATTTTGTCGGCTGTATTGTGGCGATAGGAAGGGAAATAATAGGTTGTTATTTGGTTTTTAAGGCCTTATCTGTTCTCAAAACAATGTGGGAGCGTAATGCCTGGTTTCCTAGCTGAAGATGTGGGTTACTTTTGAGTTTGTCAAGGGGCTGTGCTGGGTTTTTAGTGTCTGTGACTTGCAGGGATTGAATACAAAGGTGTTGCTCAGGGTTGAATACAAAGGTAGAGGTGGGAGAAGCGGGATGTATCTCAGCATTTCATCACCGTAGGATGTTTCTGCTGTTCGGAAAGGGGGAAATCACTGTGCTTGGCACCATTTCTGTATGGGATGATTGTTTCAAGAGCAGGCAGACCTTGCATGCTGGAAGCTTGTGAAATCTGCCGGAATTCCATACGGGAGAGCTTCACAGGCGAAGGCTTTGGCACACGACAGCCAGAGGAAGCTAGATAACCCCGCGGACCAGTTAGCACACCAGCTGCAGTGTCAAGGCAACTAGAGTAATCGCAAAAGCTTGGAGGGGGAAGAGGACGTTTAATATCCCGCAGATGTGCTGGCCCCTGCTTGTTGTGTGAATCACGGCATTACATGAACGGAGGAGAAAAGCAGTGCATTGTTTTACAGAGTCAAGTGCACGCCAGGTGCTTTACAGGCAAGAAGAAAAGGTCCCTGTCTCGGAGAATTTAGGATCCAACCTGCTTTGGGGCAGCTTTGGTAGCCCATGGGGCTGCTCAGGTGGGAAGATCTGGGACAAATATTTGTGTGGAACGCAAGGAATGTCGGTAGCTCGTTAACCTGGCAAAGCAGTGCGGCATGTTCTCCTTGCCTGCTTGGGGTTAGGTTTTAATTTGGCATTTTACTCTCCTGGCCTTTCTAAGGCTGTGGCTAGAAATCTAACACTAATGTGAATACATCTGACACGAACGGCTTGAGTTAGGTGCTCAGGCAGCTGCTGGCCGAACAAATGGGTTCTTTTGCAGGCACATCATTTTTCTGATCTGATTCACCATGGGATCGTATAAACAAATGTGCAGAAGCAGAGCAGGGAGTTGATCGGGGGGGTGGTGGGGGGGAAGCAGTTGCTGAAGCTGGTAGCCCTGTTGAGAAGTGGGTTTGGTTTTTAATGAGAGTACCTAGCATCGCAGGAAAAAAGGTATTAAAAATGCCGTTGTTTGGGTTCTGACTTGTAGGAACCCATGGTTTAGGGGTGGAGCTGTCCTCCAGTTTTTTAAAGGCAAATCATATTTCAGGTTTGGTTGCCAAACAAGAGAATCTTAGTTCTTGATGTATATACATACATACTTTTATGGCTGGTTTGTGCTGTGGGAGCAGTCAGAGCAACTTATAGCACAGCAAATTGAAGTTTAGGTAGCAGTTATGCAGCACTTGTCAGCTTGTTCTCAAGTGAGCCGAATGGATGTGTGCTTTTGAAATGCTGTGCTGTGAGGCGTGTGCAGAGCAGACCCATGCAGGTAGTTATACGGTTCCCATGGTGCAGTAACAGGCTTCACTGAGCAAGTTGGTGAATTGGGTGAAGCTGCACAATGTGTTCATGAGATGGCTCCTGGTGTGAGGTAGTATTTAGAGTAAAAGGGGGACAGGGGCCTGATTTCCATTTTCAGCAGTGAGCTGGGTGTATGAATCATGTATATCATCAGATGTAAGGCAGAAGCTCTTCCCTGTGAGGGTGCTGAGGCGCTGGCACAGGGTGCCCAGAGAAGCTGTGGCTGCTCCATCCCTGGCAGTGTTCAAGGGCAGGTTGGACACAGGGGCTTGGAGCAAGCTGCTCTGTGGAAGGTGTCCCTGCCCGTGGCAGGGGCTGGAGCTGGAGCTGGATGAGCTTTAAGGTCCCTTCCAACACAAACCAGTCTGGGATTCTGTGCTGCTTGTGTTTTTACATGCTGGTCCTCAGCCTGAGCTTTGAGGGCAATGCCTTGCTAAACTCTGCTCCCCAGAAAGTTTCTGTTGTCCCAGTTTGATCAGGTTCAGATTTTCCCAGCTCAGAAACAAGAGGCAAAACAAGACCTCGCACATGCTCCTTTCCCCAGCAGTGTTTTTCCAAAGCAAAATGTCTCTCTAACAATGGGATCCTCCCGTTGGTGGCTATTAGCTTGTCCAGCAGTTTCTTTGCGTCTTTTCTTTAGCCCATCTGCTGTTCTTGGTGCCACGAGGCTCTGCCTTTGTGGCACATGAGGAGGGGAGTGGTAGAGGAATTCATTTCTTTTTTTGGCATCTAAATATTGATTGCTCATAGATGTGTTCCTACAAGCTTCATGGTGGGAAATAACTTGCTGTCAAATGGTGCTTTGTCTCTGTCTTGGATTCACAATGCAATTCCTGCTGCATTTCTGCATGTAAACGTCCTGCAGGCAAACTCAGAGGAGCCCAAGAGCTTTCACTGCCTGCAGAGCATGCTGCTATCATGTTACTGTTACTCAATAATCAGTTGGCTTGGACATAAGGTTGCAAAAATGGAGACAAATTTTAAATTGTTGAACTTTGCCCCATACGTATTGTTTATTTCCCTCTCCTGGTCCTATTGCTGACAGGGGATTTAATGAAAACAAATCTATGTTAGACTAGGCGACTAACATTGCACTGCAGGAGAGCTTAGCTTGGCTGCTGTGTGTGACGATCAGCTTTGTATAGCTGGCTTTTGTACTTGGTGAGCAATCACTTTATAGGATGGATTCATTTGGAATAGATGAATAACTGGAGTTTCATTGATTTCTGGGAAGCTTTGTTCATTTACATAAGCTGCGGATCTCAGGCAGTTCTGCTCTTGTCAGGAAATTTCATGGCTTCTTTAGGTCCCTGGGAGATACAGGACGAGCAGAGATTGTTGGGACTGCAGCTAAATGGTGTGCCTTCAGCTGTGAAGAGGTTTCTTGCTTAGGCATTGGGGTGTTCCTGTGATTTCTCTGCACATGCTGGTGCTGAGCTGTGCAGCTGCAGTGTGTTTTCTGTTAACGTACTGGATCTCTCCACAGGGATTTTTCATCGGAGGCCATGGAGCTTTTGTCCAACGAGCTCAGCATTTATGACAAGCTCTCAGAGACGATTGATCTAGTGAGGCAGACTGGCCACCAGTGTGGGATGTCAGAAAAAGCCATTGAGAAATTCATCAGGCAGCTCTTGGAAAGGAATGAACCCCAAAGGGGACCTCCGCGGTATCCTGTCTTAGTGGCTCTCTACAAGGTAAGATGGAGAGGGATTCTTCATTAGGGACTGTAGCGATAGGACAAGGGGTGATGGGTTTAAACTGAAAAAGGGGAAATTCAGGTTAGATACAAGGCAGAAGCTCTCCCCTGTGAGGGTGCTGAGGCGCTGGCACAGGGTGCCCAGAGAAGTGGTAAATGCTCCATTCCTGGCAGTGTTCAAGGCCAGGTTGGACAGAGCCCTGGGTGACATGGTGTAGTGTGAGGTGCCCATGGCAGGGGGGGTGGAACTTGATGATCTTAAAGTCCTTTCCTACTTAAACCATTCTATGATTCCATGTCTTTTGTGCATGCACAGACCATTTGAGGGTTGGAGTTCTCCTTTTGCACCTGAGCTTTTCACTTCCCATTGCATTTTCTTGATGAATTTTCCCAAGTTCTTAATTTAAAAAGCTGTGAAGTGTAGCTTCCTGCATCCCTTGAGCTGGTTTGAAGACAGAAGGCAGCTGACTGAGCTTTGAAATTGCTCATGTGTGCTGAAAATTTAACATGTCAACACCTTCCTCTCCTGAAATTATTAAAGAATGAGACTTGCATTGATCCTTCAGGCAAAGATTCCCAGTGTCAGCACCCTCAGAGGAAGTGTGAGGAAGGAAGGAAGGAAGGAAATTCAGGGTTGAATAATGAAGAGATACAGATTCTGTTTCTGACCCTATCACAAGCTTCTACCTGTCTTTATTCTCCTTCTAGTCTATAAATTAAACCTGTTGCCTTGCTGCTCAATGCTAGAAAAATGTTTTGAGGCGCTTAACTAAAAGATGCTGTGAAAAGCTCTGCAAAGTGGGTGAAAGGATGCTGCTGTTGGCTAGGTTTGAGCTGTTTGCTGCAACAAGGATGACAACCTTCCCACTGGTGTAATATCCAGTAATATTTTAGTGTTGCCTTTAAATCCACTCAGTGGTTTCTATTAAAAAAAAAATCAAACTTTCTTCCTCACATCCTATAGAAGGCTGTAAAATAAGGCAGGAAACTGATAACTTGAACTTTCAGCTTCTGTTCTTGTTTTTGTTGTAGGTTCACTTTGACTTTGGCTGGGGGGTTGGAGAAATGTGTCATGTCGTCTCTGTAAGGCTTATTTGGGATTGTGATATGGAGGAGGGAGTGGTGCCAACTCTGCCAAAGTGGTTTGAGGCTTGACGAATGTTTGCACAAAGCCTTGAAAACCTTGTGCAAGAGGGGTGGCAGCAGTGCAAAGAGGGGTGGCAGCAGTGCCAGCTTTGATCTAAGCAGGTTGGAGGAATGGGAACTGTTTGTAGATAATCCTCATTGCTCTGGTGCTGGATTACTTACAGTGCTAAAATCCATGAACACAGTTGTGTAGCTGGGGTTTGAAGGCTGCTTAATTTCGTCCTTGGACAGCCCTACCAATAAAACAAGAGTGACAACTCTGTGTACATAAATAGCACTGCAGTTGAATGAGCAGCACAGCAAAAAATTGGAGTGTTCATCTTATGGTGCACAGCCACAACCCTTTGATAGCAGCCAGAGGTGTGTCCTGTTCTGAAGATGCATCTGCTGCCTTCACTGTGATAAATTCTGTGCCTGTTTTCTCTCTTAGGGCCTGCTCACCCTGGGACTGGTGCTGCTGACTGTTTACTTTGTGATCCAGCCATACAGCCCTCTGCCGCCTGAAGCTCCGCTCTCCAGAGCCCATGCCTGGGGCTCCCTCATCGGTCACATCCGGCTGCTCTCTCTGCCTATTGCCAAGAAGTACATGCTTGAGAGTAAGGAAATGATTTCTCTGCTCTAACATAAGCCTCACAAGAAATACCAAGTGAAATATCAGCCATGAAAATCGTTTGAGTGTCTCCCTGAGCACCCAATAACAAATGTGTTACTGGCATGGCACCATGGTTTTCTCTCTTCCTACCACTGTACTTAAAAATAGCAATCTGAATTCTAGCTAGGGCTCTTTTCCTTCCATTCACTGAGGTATATTTGATCTCTGCCTTCATCATTTTGTTCTTGCACATTCCCTTTTCCCTGCTTTTCTTCACCTCAGGGTTTTTTCTTCCACAAGAGTTCCCCTTCCTCTAAAAATCTCTGCAGTTCAGAGAATCTGAGGTAGTTATGCTGGGTAAATGTCACCCTTTCTATTTCTTTTTCTAAGTAAGCAAACAAAACCACTTTATCAACCAGATCTTGATACCTGTGAGCAAAGGGTAGAAACCTCAGCATGTGACCCGGGTTTAAGGAAAAGTAGTTTTTGCCAAGTGGGGTATTGGGAAAGGACTGTGGGCTTGAGAGCCAGTGTTTATAGCAGTTAATGTAGGATTAAGGGTAATGTGTGTGTGTGAGGAAGGGAGATAAGCAGCTCCCTATTGAGGTGGACACATCATGGGACAGGAACAGAATAGATTTTCCTAGACTGGTGTAATAGAAATGGAAAAGTTTGAGTATTTCTTGTTCTCAGTTAATCATTTCCACTGACTGAGGCTGGCAAAGGGGTGTGAGCATGGGCTCAGCCTCTCTGATAAAACACAAAGACTGTCAGTAATGATAAAGCTGTGAATTATTTTGGGCAGAGATGTGGCACAATGTTGATCCTCTCGCAGCTCACTGTAAAAACAAACTCCTGTTTCCATGCCCTCCAAGGGTTTATATTTAGCTTGGGCAGCTCATTGTGTTAGAGTTGTCTGGGCTGGCTCTGACCTTCCTGCTGGAGCTAAAAAGGGCTCCCTGAAGTGCTGGCGCTGTTCTGTGCTTTCTCTTGTGTCTCCCTCTCTTCCGCTGACATGTGGGATTGCTGTTGATTCGGGTTGTAGGGGTGGGATGGGGTATCCCCATTGTTCCTCTCCTTCCTTATACACTGGGATCTCTCACAGGGAGGAAAAAACAAAGGCAAGGTAGATGGCTGATAGCCACTTGACATTACTAGCCTGCTTATTTACTCCATGTCAGCATTGACACAAGTGAACACCCCTCCACTTCTGTATGGGGAAGCAAATCAATGGGCACTTTAATGCTTGTATTTGTTCAGTGGAATTTTGTGGAGAAAGCTGACAGGTTCTTCCTTCAGATGCTGCAGAGCCACCTTGGATGGGAAGAGCCCAGGGAGGTTCCTTGGGACAGCAGGATGGATGGAGAGGAAGGATGCAAGGTTGTTTAAATGTATATAAAATCCCTCATGCCTCCATGAGTCCTGGAACTCTTCTGAAGTGATGAGCAAGAGGGTGGGCAGCAAGCCAGCCCTGGGGAAATGAGGGGACAAGGCAGTTCCCACTCTGTTCTTCCAACAGTATTGGGTTGCATGGAAAACACAGCATGTCCCAGTTAACAGATTTGCTTGGGATGGCTGGGGTGACTTTGGTCCTGCCTCAGCAAAAGGAGCTGGGCTAGTCCCTGGCTAGTGGAATGGAAGTGCAGCACCCAGCCTGAACCTTGGCTGGGTTCCTGTGGGAATCCCTCATGTGCTGGCTTCTTGCAGGCAGCTGCGGCCACCAGGGCTGTCCCAGTGTCCGGCTGTCCCAGCAGCACTGGTGTCAGCTTCACAGCTTGCATCCCACAGGGAGCTGGAAGAGGGAGCTTCATGTCATGGGGCTGAGTGATCTCCCAAGCTCTCTTTCAGCCCTGCCTTGTGTATAATGAAATATTTTGCCCTTAATTTTGGCTTTTTCTGCTGAAGGGAAGGGGTAAAGCTATATCTTGCCATCCTGTTTGTTAATGTGAGCATAAGGCTGGGAAGGTACCAGGGGCTGAACCAGACCTCAATGGCCACAATCACAGGGATCACCAGACAACCTTTCTTCATGGGAATCTCCAGAAGCAGAGGTGGACACTGGAGAGCCTGTTAGCCCCTTAACTACAGAGGATCCAGCCTTGTTAGAAAGCATGGGCACAGTCTTCAGCCCCTACTCGGTCCCAGAAACAAAGGTGTCAAAGAGGACAGGTTCTCCTGCACAGGAGAAGGCACTGTGCAAGAGACTGAACAGCAGAGAAAACTGCTAAGAAAGGACTCGCTGTACAGACTCCTCTTCCTTTCTCTGTGTCGATCCTGGGAGATGAAGATTCTGAGGGGGCTGAGGATTAAACTTGGAGCTTTCTGCGCTTGGGCACCAGTTCAAATCCAGCTTGAGCTGTTCTTGTTGAAAGCCTCCTGGTAGCAGTTTGAAGGCTGCCTTGGCCCACCGGCAGTGCTGGCAGACATCCCTGGCCACTCAGCTCGGTATGGACAGAGCCCAGCCGTAGTGAGTGTGGGCACATGGGTGGTCCAGTTCACTTCCTCCAAGTGCCTGAGCAGGCAGGGGCAGTGGCCTGGGGCTGTGCTATCCCTCCTGAGTCTGCTCAGGCTTGGAGCAGCTTTCCTGTCTCCAGGATTGCAGGATGGAGCCGGTTCCCCTGGTAGGTGTGGGCAGAGCAGCCAGGTTTGTGTTGCAGAACAAGGGGAGCTCGGATACCTGCTTTCCTCCAGGAGGCAAAGCTCCATGTTAGAGTGATGGTTAGGCTTTGGGAAGAGCAGGGCTGCAGGATTCTGCTCCCCTTTCCCTCCAGCTCAGGGTGATCTGCCTTCACTCTCACCTTCACCCTCATCCCTTCCACCCCAAGAGCCATGCTATGGATGACGAGGGCTGTCTGTCTGTCGGTGGCTGTGGGTGGATCTTTGAGCAGCTGAGGTGAGAGTGCTTTGTGGACACTGCTCCTCTTGTGTTAAGTTTGTAGGATTAGGTCCAAAGTAAATTTCCTTTTTGCCTGTCTCTTTGCTCTGTTGTTTGCTGCTTTCTCCCCCGGATCAATTCTCATGTTAAAACTAACGTTCCTGCCCTTTGTTTGTTCAAAGCTGACTCTTGGACCCTTGGGTTTGGAGTTTGTGCCTCTCTTTCAGCTGTTTTCCCAGGACTAGGGATCGAGGTCCCTTTGGCTGGGGAAGAGTTTTTGTGGAAATGTGGTTTGCATTTGCTCTTCCGGAGCTTGTGTTTGCACAGAGCTTGTGAGAGCCCCAGTGCTGGGTCCCACTGCCTGCTCCGGGCTGGGAAAGCACCTCTTGCCACTGCAGCATGCAGGGTGAGCCGGGTGGATCAGTGCTTCACATACACTCAGGGACATGATGAGTTTGCAGATCTCAAGGCTTTACTTGCTGTAAGGAACACTGGATTTTGAGTGGGCATGTGGGTTAACTCAAGGCTTTCTAGTGCTGTTGGAAGGAGAAAGTAGGCCTATGTAAGCTGGAATCTTTGCTCTGACACAGGCTGACAAATCATAGAATGATTAGGGTTGGAATGGAAAGGACTTTTAAGATTGGTGATCCTGCCCCTCTGCTCTCATGAGACCCCGCTTGCAGCACTGGGTGCAGTTCTGGTGTCCCAACATAAGAAGGACATGGAGCTGTTGGAGCAAGTCCAGAGGAGTCCACAAGGATGATCGGGAGCTGGAGCACCTCCCACAGGGAGCCAGGCTGAGAACATTGGGGCTGTTCAGCCTGGAGAAGAGAAGCTGCATGGAGACGTCAGAGCAGCTTCCAGTGTCTGAAGGGGGCTCCAAGGATGCTGGAGAGGGACTCTTCATCAGGGACTGTAGCGATAGGACAGGGGGTGGTGGGTTCAAACTGAAACAGGGGAAGTTCAGGTTGGATCTAAGGAAGAAGTTCTTCCCTGTGAGTGTGGTGAGGCCCTGGAACAGGCTGCCCAAAGAAGTGGTAAATGCTTCATCCATGGCAGTGCTCAAGGCCAGCTTGGATAGAGCTTTGGGTGACACGGTCTGGTGTGAGGCATCCCTGCCCATGGCATTCCCTCTGTGTTTCAGTTCTCCGGTGCAAAGTAGGGGTACAACTACTTCCCTCTCCCCTGAAAGCATTGGGAAGAAATATAATGAGGTCCCAAAGTCTGTAGTAATCAGAGCCAAATGAAAAGGGATTTTCTCTTTCTAGTAATAGAAATTTTCAAACCACAGTAGTGGTTACTCTGTTCTCCAAAAGTTCTTCACAGCTCTGTGATGTGCTTCTAGCTTTCTCAATATATAAAGCTGAGTTTTGGTGTTGGCTGGTTGATGACTGTTCCCTGCCAGCCACACAGAGCAGTGACATTATGAGCAGACCCTGAAGTTGCTCTCACATTAACTTCTGTGTCTGCCTGTGGTAAGTTCACTCCATGCAGCTCAGCAGAGCAGGTCATGGGTGGTGAGCAGGCTTTCATCCAACAACGTGACAGTCTCCACGTGTATTGATAGACGGGTTTGTAATGACCTTGAAGAAAATCCAACTTTGCTTCTAATAATGTGCCCTGGTCCTGATCATGTACGCTGCACTGTTCAAAATCAACTGGATCAGTAGCTGCTCAGCACACCTCAAATCAGACACAAGCACACATGTATCTCAGTGTTGTGTAAGTTCCCCCCAGCTTGGAGAAGGTTCCTTATATTAAATATCCCTTTTTGCCTGGACCAGTAGGGCTAAAACTGTGTTTATGGGATTTATATATCTATTTTGGAGAAAAGAGCTGTGGAGGAGCAGTGTTGAAGCAGCACCTTGTGAATGGTCTGTGACTGTCACATCAGGGGGCCTGGTGGGCGTGAGAGCTGTTTGCTGGGGACAGGTCACAGGAGGCTGGGTTACAGGGAGAGGACAGCAGCCTCTGCCTCTTGGCTGGCCACCTTCAGTTCAGCTGCAGGCTTGCCTTGGCCCCTGGCCAGGTCCTGTCTTCTTTCTGATCTTAACCCCTTGCAGGCAGCCACATTTCTCTCTGCTTCTCACGCTCCTCCCCTCTTGCTGCAGCCCTGCAGTGTTTATCCT